TGCATGTGAGGTTTGTAGGGGGGGTGTGGGGTGGGTATGGTGGGGTGTGCATGTGCCTCCCAAGCGGTGCACAGCCCCTACCACCAGTGGCAGCAGCAGCAGCAGGCCCTCAGGGCACTCATAGCCCATGCAGGGAGAGCCCCTTGGTGGCATGTGGCTCTGGCCAGTTCCAGGAGCTGCACATGGCATTACAGAGTGGGGCCAAGCCAGCCCGGTTCCATTGCATGGGGCCTCCTGCAGGTCATATGCAGCTCCTGGGACCCAGCCAGATCCACATGCTGTGGGGGGAGCCCCATGCAATTGAACCAGTGGCTTTCCCTGCTTTCTGCTGCCACATGCAGATCTTGGGACTCCACTGGGAAGCAGGGAGCAGGGCCAAGCCAGCCTGGCTCCATCACCTGGGGCTCCCTGCCACTTCCAGTGGAGTCCCAGGAGCTGCACGTGAGTCATGGGGAGCTCTACACGATGGAACTGGGCCAATTTGGGCTCCATACTTCTGCTACCCTGCTGGGTGTAGGCCCCATGCTTCAGGCTCCAAGCTCCTGCAGACCCCAGCCCTGCACTCCATGCTCCTGTCTAGTTGCAGCTTCCTCCCCACCTGCCCACCCCCACTTCCCTACCTGCTGCCTGGAGCACTGCAGCAGCAACAGGAAAAGAAACTGCTGGAGGCTGGGACAGCCGAGCAGTTCCCTGTGTCACTGCAGCAGCGGCAGCAGCTGGTCCACCTTGAAGCTGTGCACATGGGCTGGGGCTGGGGCCCTCCAGCATATGAGGGTAGGAGCATAGCATGCTGTCCATGTGGGAGTGGGCAGGGCACAGTGGGCACCTACCCGCAGGCCAGATGAAATTGCCTGGCTGACCGGATATGGCCCACAGGCTGTATTTGGCCCATCCCTGTCTTGAGGGTTGGGCTTGGTGTTGTATTTGTACAAGGGTATTCAGAAATGATTGACTCCAGCCACAAGTATGGGAAAGAGTTCTGCCAGGCTGTCAAGCATGGACTATACTGTGAATAAAAAGTAAAGCTATGCATTTATTGCCATTTGCAGATTCAACAAAAAGTAACTTTAGGTTCTCATGTGCCCATTCAGCGCATTCACACGTCACATCTCTTCCCCCCTTTTCAAACAAACACACCACAATGCACAGACTAGAAGCTTCTCAGGCAGCTTGTGTTTCCTTTCTAGTGAACAGCTGGAAAAGGTATAGGATACGAAAACATGATGCATGTATAGCCCCTACAAACACTACTAGCCAAAAGATTTGGATCTTGAGAACATGGTGAGGGGTGTGGGAAGGCCAGGAGTGGGGCTCTATGTCAAGAAACTATATTCAGGTAATCACTTGAATAATTAATGAACATTAACATTTTAGCTGGATCCCTGTGTACCATTATTAATAATTAGCACTGTTAAATATGGAGTCCAATGGCTAATACAATGAAGACTGTATATTACAAAACTATACATCTGAAAAACTAGTATTCTTTAAATTTAATCTGTTCCATATTAAGGCTTCTGTGTAATGGCTTGTAATTCTATGCACTTAAAAAAACCCAAAGGTCACTCTCTGTTTCTGGTTCCGGCTTTGAACTCTACTGGAGCTTTCTATAAAATGAGGCCAACACTTCTGAAGTTTGCTGCTTAAGGCTGGGTTCTTAAACCCATATTCAGGCACTTAAAATAAAAAGCCAGACTTTCAGTGGTGCTGATCACTCACATCGCCCATCGACTTCTGCAAATACTCTTCACTTCTGGAAATCAGGCCATTCATTTCTTATCATTTATCAAAACTGAGCACACTTTCAGATGGCCTAAAGATGGATTAGAAACCTAACTGGAGCCATCTAACATTGAAAATGTTAGCCTTGTTTTATACTTCAGTGTATAAGTCCAGGATAACTAGCTCCAAAGAACATTCTTCCAAAGAGGTCAAAATTTACTGCAGGCATGTTTTCATGTACTAGAGAAGAACTGAAATATCACCCCAGAATTCTGTCCTTAATTTATTAGCTGCAGCAGAGACACTGTTATAAATAAACCTCAAACACTCAGAAATTAGTGTATGAAAAGTGCAAGGATGTTTTTCCCTGTTGATGGGAAAGTTCCATTCAGCTACGGAAAAGTGAATAACGCTGATCCTGCTCTTATATGGAATCTGCAAATGAAAATGAAGATGAAGATGATGAAGACTTTGGGTTACCATGTGTAGACAAGAGGCTGTGTATATAGAGCCAATTGCAGGATCATGTCTCAAATGACTACAGAGAGGTTGAAACTGAGTGTACATCAAATGCGGTCAAACTCACAAAGTTAACAATCTGTAATGATAGAGGATTTTTTCTCACCTAACCTCTTTCAGTTACACTTAAATTAATTGCCTGAATCATATCTATAGCATAGGCACATTTCTTCAACAAGATTTTGATTTTCAAACCAATTTTCTTCAACTTATTTTAATATAAGAGAAGACATACAATGGAAACATTCTGGCAAGAGATTACGAATATAGCATTAGATTTTTACAGGCAACACTATCTTCCTTAATAAAAAGACTTCTTTTTTTTTGTTTACTTACCTTATTGCTGTATCCTTGCTTTTTATGTTTAGCTCCTACAGAATAGAGTACAGGAATCAAATCTGGAGGACAGTCGGCAAAATATTCTGTGCAGGTAACTGGTGACTCATGAATGTCAATAGGATAAGGATTTTCAAAGATTGGAAAACTAATTGAGGAAGACAATTTATTAGTACCACTCTGACATGCCAAGTAGTATTAGAAAAAACAATCTTTACATTAAATAATAAAAAAAATCGAAATTGTAACCATTGCCATTCATAACAGACGACATTTTCCTTATTTCATATTTGCTTTGAAATATATTTATCGTCTTTATTTTAAAGAATTACAGTCACTCAGTGACATTCAGTTTAAGGTACCAGGGCAGCAATCTGTTTTCTTATTAATACTTACTTATATATGAAGAGCTACACTAGAATTAATGGGATCATTTAGGTGAGTAAGGGCTCACAAGAACAGGTTCTAATTTTTCTTCTAAAAAGCAGAGAATATAGGTAGTATGTATAGCTGTACAGATATGCAAGCCCTTTGAAACACTGCAGAAGTGTCTGAAACACTTTACAATAGTACCTCTTTAAATGAGGCACTATTTTGAAGCATTTCACTTTTGGGGTGCAGGCAGAAATGACATTTTTTCATGTGATCTGGCCCCTGAAAGTGCTCTACAGCTATGACCTTACACACAGAGCACTTCTAAAATAGCTGACTGGGCAAAAAAACCCTTGTCAAATCAGGTAACAGGTTAAAGCACTCTGCTTTAGAGTTTCTTATGGAACTTCTTTTCCTTTGAGGGTTAATTTTTCACACAGGGGTAGGGCTGGGCTGATGCAAGCAGCAGCCAACCCCACCCCTGGGGCTGTCAGTGAAGAGGGAGGGAAGGGAGCAGCAGCAGCTGCTGGGCTGCTATCCAGGCCTGAGCTGGAGCAGGGGGTGGTGCCATGGAGCCCCTCACCTCATAGTCCCTGCCAGCACCCTGGCTGGGGTGTTGGGGGGAGCCGAGACAGACCTCCGAGGTGAGAAGGCTCTGTTCTACCGAGCCCCCTCTCCCCCCTCCAGCTCTGGCCAGGCCTCTTGAGAGTGGCAGCAGCAGCTGCTGGGCAAGCCTGGCTTGAGCTGGAGAGGTGAAAGGGGGTGGAATGGAGCCCCTTGCCTCAGGGGCTCAGCCTGACTCCCCCCAAATACCCCACCCAGGGTCAGGATAGACATAGCAGCCCCGCAGCTACTGCTGCTCCTTTCCCCACCTCTCTGTTGACAGCCGTGGAGCTGGGAGGGAGGGGCAGGGCTGGGGAGAGGGGTAGTCCAACAGCCTCCTCAGAGGTTGCTGGAGTACCCATGCCTACTGGCCAGGAGGGCCAGGACAGGCAGGCTCAATCCTGCTCCTCCCCCCAGCTCCTCCCGATTCAGCAGGTGACCATCTGTTGGATCAGGGGGTCACTACTAACTTATGCCGCTTTATGTAAAGTGCCATGAGTTAGAGTGGGGCTGGAGTTAGGTATACTACTCTCACCTTCCCTGCCAGATCCCTGGCGCCCCTACTGATGCTGGAACTGGGCTCTCCAATTTTAATCTCCTCTACCCCTCCCCTACACTCTTGGTTTTCCCCTCCTTTTTACCTCCCACTCCTGTGAGTGGAGGAGCAGAGGGGAGCTAAGAGTAAAGCCACAGGTCACCACAGCCTGCTGTGGAGTCCACCAGTGAACTCCAGAGGAGCCTTCAGTATTTTGAAACTTTCCACCCAGGAACAGCACAGAGACATACATATATCCCCCAGCTGAACCTTTTTCTTTCTGAAACATTTCTGAGTGGGTTTCACTTGGAAATGTTTGAATTGTTATGTCTGTCTACACTCATAAATGGACTTCTATGCCTTATATTAAGCATAAATGTGCTTAAGTGATTTCCTAAATTGGGTATCAAATATATTAGTAGTTATCAAAAGATATTCACAATGTTGGTTAGTAACAATCACAGAATTCTAAGAAAGCAGAGCTGGAAGGGATCTCAGAGGTCATTTAGTCCAACTTCCTGCTCGGTGCAGGATCATCCTCATCTAAACCAACTCAGACAAGAGTTTTCTAACCTGTTTTTAATTTTTTTTCAAGGATGGAGTTTCCACACACTCTCTACGTAGTCTGTTCCAATACTTAATCATTCTTATAGTGAGAACATTCTACCTAATATCTAACCTAAATTTCCCTTGCTATACTATAAGAACCTTGCTTCAGGATGCCAGGGCTTCCCACCCTTTTTTGTTTTTGCAGCTCTTTTTTCCCCCTCCCTCCATTCGCTGTTGATTTTACACTTTTTTGTGGTCCCTGAGCTTTTCCGCAAAGACTGACCAAATCCATAGTTTCTGCAGAAATTGCAGAACCATGAATTTTGCAGGTCCCTATTCATAGGCTGTAGCCTACAAAAGTAGCCTACAAAAGTTCATGCATCTCTGAACAAGTTAGTCTGTAACAGGGGTCAGCAACATTTTTGGACAGAGTACCAAAAATACACGCAACCTCAACTGGTAAGATGTTGGCATGCCAGGGGTGGATGGTGGGGGAGTAAAAAAGGGTCCAGTCCTTGTTGTGGCAGTACAGCCCCAGCCTCTTCCCCACTGTCTGCCCTAATGCACTCATGCCAAGGAACATGCCTTCAGTGTCACACACTGGCACGCATGCCGGGGGTTGCCTACCCCTGGTATACAAGGTGCCACACTGCCCTGCATTCTATCTTCAGACTAATGGCTAACTACCTCCCTCCACCCTTCAGGTATTCGTAGTCTGTTACTAAATCATAGCCTCTCAGTTTTTCCTTCTCCAGACTAATCCAAGACTAATTCCAGTTCTTCATAAAAACTTTTTCCATACCTCTAATTCTTTTTGTTGCTATCTACTAGCCTTTCTAATTTGTCCACATCTTTATTGAAGTTTGGTGTCCAAAACTAAACACAGTACTTTAGGAAAGGCATTATCAGTGCTGAATAAAGTGGATCACTTTTCTTGACTTGCAAGTGACATTCTTATCAGTATAGCCAAGTGTGCTATTGGCATTTTTTGCAACAAGAGCATGCTGTTGGTTCATATTCAGCTTATGATCCACTATAACCCTGGGTCCTTTTCTGCAGTACTGTAACCAGTCATTCCTCAGTCTGCATTTGTGCATCCAGTTATTCTCTCTTTGCACTAAGACTTTGAGATTCTTCTTACTGAATTTAATTTAACTTATTTTGGACTAGTTCTCCAGTTTATTAAGCCCAATTTGAATCTAATAATAACTTGCAGTGTCTGCAGCTCCACTGAATTTGATATCTTCAAGTTCTACTGGGGTCTAATTCTACGGGAATGTAAGTTTTCATTTTTATTCATATCAAAGCTGCAGCATGAACTTCCCCTGAAATACATTTGCATAACTTTCCACCAATATTTTACACTATGCCCATTTGTTATTTTCCTTTTTAAACCCATATTAAATCCAGGTGATGCCCCAGAACCATTTATTATATGCTATAAGTACAAAAACAAGACGACAAATACACATACACTAGCATCATGAGATATTGTTGTTGAATAGACATGTTAATGTTCACTGGAAAGGGGAAGAGAATGATTATTACAACTCCAGGATGGAATGCACCGAAGACATTAATAATGAATCATTTGGGGGTATCTATCATGTTTGGACACAAGCTTTATATAATAATTCTTTTTGTTTTGGTTTCCCAATATATATAAGAATTAACTCAGATAAAACAAGAAATCCTACTGGCCTAAATTATCCTGGAGTAAAATTGTTTCCAGTGAATGTGAATAAAAAAAAAAAAAAAAGAAAGAATACACCCCTTTCTGGAAAGTCCAAACAGGTTTAAATACAACTTTCTGGATATTTATGTATTAAAAATAGTTTCAAACAGACTTTGTACTCACTTGCTTTGTGTCAGGTCAACAACAATGAGATCTTTTTCCAGTAACACAACTACAGCATAAGGGTCTTGAAATTCTAGAAGTAAGAAATGAAGCATAAGATTCATAAAACACAGTTTTTCCACCAGACATTTTAATTAAATTAACCAAATCATGTAATCCTTTTACTGAACAATTACTATTTGTTAAATAAGAGTTTTGAAAAAGAAGCCTGAACAACTAGAAAACTTCTCTGCAAACTGGAAAGTATGACCTTTAATTAGAGTCAGACACTAATGGGAAAGGACCATGATGACAAGTGGCTTTGGGAAAGTATTGTTAAAAACACATTGGGACAGAAACAGCATGGTAAATTAGAGCATGCTAACATGGTATTGAACAGACAGGAAAGGAGTAGAGAAGAGGTTCTCTTTGATGTCTTAGGAAACCGTATGTTAACCCATCATTAAATCCAATTATCAGTGGATGTTTTGCTATGGACAGAGATTATCCAAAGCTCTATTCTTTGCAGCTGATTCAGCTTATTTGATAATGCATAGTGCACCTATTCCCAATGGTGTATCCCTCAGACCTCAAAAAAAAAAAAGAGATTCACTACGTCCACTATTTAAAATGTGAAAAGGGAGCATGAATGAGGAAACAATGTTAATAGAGGTACGCAGTAGACATGGAAGGTGAAGAAAGAGGTGCAGCTGTGCTGCAGGTAGAGCTGGACAGAGACAGACTGCGTGGAGCTGAAAAAGAGATGTCAAAGATTTAGGTTTGCTCCTCCATTCCTAACATACCAAGGTGCTCTTACAGGAGCAGACTCTGGTCTTCCAACCACTTTTAAACCACTTCCTTTAGCAAAAGCTCATTTTCATGTATGTTACCTATCATTCTGGAATTCAGATTCCGGAATTCTAAATTAGAAATTTATTTACAGGTGTTGAGTTAAAAATCATGTAAAACTTTAAAGGAGAGGGAAAAAAAGGGTTTCAGCACAGGAGGGGAAAACTATTTATACCTAATCCCTATTATTATTTCTTATCTTTTTGCTGGGAAATATTTTTCATAGTTAAAGGATACTTGGCCTAAAATTTTTTCTACAGCTATTAGGCCTGTGCTAATAGGGAAGTATTTGATTCGGATTTGGATTTAGCTGATTCAGAGGACAGTGATTTGATTTTGAGATTTGGATCACTGTCCCAAATCGATTTGGCTGAATCCTTTCTGGAAGATTCAGCGCTGATTTGGAGAGCTTCGGATCAGCCAGGGAGAGGCAGGCACAGCTGGGTGGCTGCAGGTTTCCCGCAGCTCCTCTGGCTGTGCCTGCCTCTCCCCAGGTGGGGGGAGCCATGGGAGAAGCTCCCATGGATGCCCTGCCCAGCCCCATCTCCCACCCCGCCCCAGCCTAGTCCTGGCACTTTAAAAAAAGAAAAGAAAAAAACCTGCATTCACTGGCTCTGGCAGTGGTGACTGGGGCCTCTGGGCACTTGTGGCAGAGCCCCCCTGCGAAGCGCAGGGCAACGGAGATCAAGCTCCCCCCACCCCTCTGTCTGCACCTGTACAACAGCTGCACAGGTGCAGTGTGGTTCAGCAGGGCGCCGCATGCTGTCTGGGACCTGGGGCCGCTGGGGCCGAGCACTGCCAGGCTCCACCTGACATGTGGAGCCACCCCAGCTCCTGGACAGTGAACAGCACCCTCCTGAGCTGCGCTGCACCCATGCCATGGAGCAACTGCTGCGTGTGCCAGGTTGCGGGGGGTGATTCCCACTGTCCCCCCACTGCCCCACGCTGCACAGGGAGGCTCTGCCACGAGTGCCCAGACACCCCAATCGCCACTGCCAGACCCAGTGAGTGCAGGGCTTTTTTCTTTTTTTTAAAGTGCCAAGAGGCTGGAGCTGGGCGGGGGATGGGGCCAGGCAGGGCAGCCATGGGGGCTTCTCCCACAGCTCCTCCGGTTGTGCCTACCTCTGCCCTGGCAGGGGAATCTACATGACCTATGCCTTGCTGCTGCTTGCCCAGCTGGCATGGGGGGGTGCACTGCAGGCATGGCTTGCTCCAGGCGGCAGCAGGGCATAGTCCACATTCCCAGCGCTGCCACTGCATGCCACCTGGTGCAGGAGGAACAGAATGCGGGTGCAGCAGCGCTGGCAGAGGGGGGGCTATGCTCTGCTGCCGCTTGCTCCCTTCTGCCTCGAGCGAGCCACGCCTGTATCCTACCCCAGCTGGGTAAGCAGCAGCAAGGCAGAGCTACCACTCCCAGCATGCTGCGCCCCCATCCCGGCCCTCTCCCACCCTAGCTGGGCAGCTTGTCCCAGCCCCAGCCCCAAACCTGCCCTCCCCTTCCCTCCCCCCTCTCCAACCGCAACAGACTTACCAGCTGGAAGCAGCTATCAGCTGCCTGTTTAGTCTATAGCCGAATCTCTGAATTGGCCAAATCTTTTCGGAAGCTTTTCCAAATCGATTCAGATGCTTTGAATCGATTCAGAGCTTTTAACTGGTCTCCCAATTCAATTCGGATTTGGAGATTTGGTCCCTCTGAATTGAATCAGCTACCGAAGCTTTGCACAGCCCTAATAGCTATGTAAATGTTGCAATACTGTTTCAAATCTACTCTGTTCAATTAAGATGCCACTAAATACACAATTATTACTGTGTTTAGGTACACTGTACACAAGTGATGGGTTTAAGCACAAGCCTAAATATTTCACTGAACTAGGAACTTAAGCCTAAAGAAATGTGCCAGAGTTGTAGCCATGAGAATTAACCTCTCTACTTATTTTTGAGCAATGGCAAAGTAAGTTTTTGATTCATCATTATGCTGCAACTTCAGTTTGGAGGGAACAGTACACAGTATAAGAGAGAGTTCAGTCACTGTAACCCATTCTTCATCTCTCTGCTGAAACAGCAAACAAACATTCAAACTGCTGTCAGCTCTGATGCTGTTTTCTGTGATGTAGACAGGTGTTGGTTGACAACTAAGATTCCCAACTCATTTAATACATCGATTGAACACCAAATTCAGGCCACTGCATTTACATTTTTAGTAATGAAACCTTTCTTCCTTGACAAATTTGTACTATTTTTGTTTCAAACACTCACCATTTGGGTATGGTGTTTCACAAAGAGTTAAAAATTCAACTATAGGATGATCCATTTCAAGCACTGTAATTGCTTTTCCGTGCATGATGGTTAAACTTGGTCTTCGGCAAGCTTTGTCATAAGACAGTCCACCAGAAAAGATTATAAATGGTTCACTGTATTAAAAACAAAAAGCAATAATAAATGATATAATCTAACACTTCTGTACTGCCTGTAAATCCTAAATGCTTTTCAAATTAAAAAATGAAATTATAAATAGTTAATCTGATTGGGCTTTACCTTTAAAACCATTAATATTCATGAATATTATGAAGGTTTTATATTGTGTGTGGGGAAATATTTGTAGCATTTTAAGATAGTTGTGCATTCATTTTTCCTTTGATAAGATATAAAATTTTGGAATTAAGGTTACAGTTATTATTTTCATATTGCTAGTGCTTTATATTAAAAGAGTCAGCATTCTGACAGACTCGTAGTACTCAGAAATAAGGAGATTTATACAAATTGACCTATATATTAAAAAGGACTTAAAATTCACATGGCCAAAACATCCTGTGCCAGATTATGGTTTTGTTTTAATATTTCCTATTTAAATGTGCTCACGTTATAAGGTTGCATGTCTCTGTATCCCTGACTAGTTTGTACAATGAAAAAAAGGGGTTAATTGTGCAACTGGAGCTGTGGAGTTCTACCAAGCAGACAGATGTGCTTGTCTGAAGTAGAAGGCAGGGTAGATCTGCACCTTACAGACCAGGGGCAGGTAATTATTGCAGCTGGAGGGCCACTTAATGAGCTTTGCTGAGGTGTTGAGGGCCGCAACGGTAGCCCTGCCCCTTGACAGGTGCCCTGTCCCCTGGTCGCCATCTTGGGACCAGAAGTTCCATCCCCTAACCTCTGACCTTTGCCACCAGAAGTCCCTCCCCTTGCCTCCCAGAAGTACTCCCTGGGGGTGGGGGTGGGCAGGAATGGGAGGCTGACATTTTGGAACTGGAAAAAAACAAATCATATACTAAAAGTCAAATATGTACTATAACATATTTTAATTTTATTTCAAAAATTATTTTTGTCCTGATCTGTATGTGTTTGCATAGCATATATAGAAGTGATTGCATAACAGCTCAAAAATAAAGTCTTACTCTTGTATAGTGTGTGTGTGTCTTGTGAGGAGGTATGGCAGTGTGTGTGGGCAGAGTGGGTATATGTATATGTGGGAGGGTTGTGTAGTGATGTGGCTAGGGTATGGGTGCAGGTGTGTGGGTTTTGAGGGAGGGTTGGGGGTATGGGGTAGCAAGGAGTAAGATGCAGAGCTAGGCCAGCCTGCCTCTATTGCACTGGGCTCATGTGCAGCTCCTGGGATTTGCACACCATTGGGGAGAAGCCCCACACGATGGAGCTGGCTGCTGTCTCTGCTACATGCTGCCACATGCACCTGCTAGGACTGTGCTGGAAGTGGCAGGGAGCCCTGCTCCGTGTTTTCTGGTGGAGTCCCAGGACCTGCACATGGCAGCAGGGAGTGGAGAAGGCAGTTGGATCCATTGTGCAGTGCTTCCCCCCGCAGTGGCGCACAAGTCCCAGGAGCTGCTCGTGAACCCTGCGCAATAGAAGCAGACCAGCCTGGCTCCTCTCCTTGTCATCACATGCAGCTCCCAGAACTGGCTGGAGCTGTGCACCACTAGGCGGATGTGCCTGCATGGGTCATAAGCACCCCAAGGGTCTTCTGCTGCTCCTACTGCTGCCACTGGCCAATACTGATCCAATTCCGATATGCAGCCAGCAGCATGGAGAGTGGCGTCGTGATGGTAAGTCTGGTGTGGGGGAAATGGGTGGGGGGGCAGATTGGGGCACTTGTGGTGAGGGAGGGAGTGGGGCTGGAGCAGGGGCAGGTGCTGCACAGCTGGGGCGAAGCACAGGATGGAGCCGTGAGTGGCATATCTGGGGGCGCAGGGGAGGGTGTGGCGGCTCCCTCCACTGCATGCACGCACCCTGGGAGGGCATGGGAGGCATGTCCCCAGATCTGCATATGGAGTGAGGGTGGGCTGCTGCTGTGGGCAGGGTGACACCGAGCTCTTCCCAGTGGTGGGGGTTGGGCCAGGGCTGCAGTTGGGGCACGTGGTGGTAGTGCTGGGAGGGAAGCTACAATGGGGGGCTGCAGATGCCCCAAAATTCACCATAGCCCCCTTCCCAGCACTCCCACCACCCACCCCAAGCACAACCCCAGTCCAACACCCCACTGGGAAGAGCTCGGTGTCACACCAGCCTCAGCCTGCAGCAGCAGCCTGCACTTCCCTGCGCGCAGATCCAGTAGCACATGCCCCCCCATGAAAAGAATGGAAAGAGCATTTCAGTAAGGTCAGACTTACTGGAATTGAACGTTTTGACCAATGTAATTATTCACCTAAACCTAACATTTTTTCAAAAACTTCATTTCAAGATAAATTTAGAAATGTTTGGTTTTGTTCCTTTTTGGAATGAAAACTAGATTTTAAATTTTCACCCAGCTTCAACAGACTTCCCTAGGCTGTGGCTTCCCTCACAGAGATTTCTGTAAGAAAAGCCATGTAACTAAGTGTCTCAGGGGAAGTGAAGAACTGTGGATATAATGTGTCTGCCTGGATCTACTTAGTGCAGATTTGCTCAGTGCGCGCACACATACAGACTCTAGTTCTCTGAAGAGACTTCAGTGGGATCCTGGAGCAGGGGGTTGGTAAAGGGCAGCAAGTAATGACACGAGAATGACGGTGCCGTGGATGAGGTGGCACCCGCCATATTCTGCACAGGAAGTGTAAGCACAGTGCATGGGGAAAAGTTTAGTAGACATTACAAAAAAAAGGAGCTATTATTATATTAGTGTGTGCCACTGCTTCTAAAGTTGTATATTTAACAGGTTTGAAGTGAATTTGGACTTTTATATAAATTCACATAAAGAGAAAAAACACTTGATTTGAAACTAGTTAAACTCACCTAAGAACACCTTCACCCCACAAACTTTGAAAGTAAAGAATTATCCAATGAAAGTATCCTTCTTTAACATATCTTAACTGTAAAAAATAACATATCCACCATTTTCAAGGGCAGATGCCACCCTTTTATAAATAATTTCTTTATATTTCTATCATGTATAGTAACACACTAGATGCACGATAACCTCCATGATCACATTATAAAGACAAAATTTTAACTCCAACACATGCCTTGTAGTCATCCAAACACTGCTATAGTACAGTTATTTTCTGATGGGTGTATTTGAGGTTCATTATAATGCAATTGCTGAGGAATGTGGTGGGTACATGGTGTTGCTGCACATGATAGAAGTGCACTTTTAACAAAGCTGTTCTCAAGGGGAATTTTTTTCAAAAGCCATTCATAGGGATTGGGCTCAGCCCAAGACTGTTTCTGTAGGTGTGTATCTACATGTGAAATTAATGCGATGCAATAAACTCTGAAGCAGTGTGCCCGGGACAGCAGCAGTTTGAGCCAGGGTGGAGCAGCCCTGGGCTGGCAGTAGGCTCAGGGCATCAGCCCTGGGCTCTGGGTGGTAGCATCAGGGCTGGCTGGGGCACAAGAGTACTAAAGTGTACAGCTGTGCAGCAGGCAGCCCCCGGTACTCTAATGCCCCAGCCAGCCCCTCTCACCATCTACACACGCACTTCATTACTTTGTACTGTCTCCGACAATACTATCTTATGGCACAGTTAATTAGTTTACTGTGCCTTAATATCGGTGCACATATAGACAGTGATGCTTTACTTTGGAGCTAATTAGTCTACACCACAGTAAAGTGCACATGTAGATGCACCCTAGGTGCCTAAACAGGACTTAGATAATACTGAGGCAGCTAAAATCCAAAGGATAATCCAAAAAATGACTGATAGGAATAAAAATCCCATTTAATGAAATTTACTATGTATATTGTACAATGTGCTGTATTTCATTCTTTACAGTGATTTCTTATCATTCCAGTTCCTGTAAATGTATATTCATTCTTTATTGAGTCCTTATCCATTCCAGTTCCAGATCTGTATTTAAAAAACAATACATTATTTTAATAAGTTTTAGATAGCATAAATTAGAAAAGTGACTACAGATTACTACATGCAGAGGTTCTCTCTGGTGACTTGGTAATTTCCTCAATGTTACAAAGACAGTTTATGGTTCAGATAGTATGTGGGGGACAAAATTCAGTTACACTGGGTTCCATCCAGTGATTTAATTATAAAACAATCCTCTGGAGCAAACAGCATCTGTTTATATAATTAAAGTATACCTCATTCACATGAATATTTTGCAGTGCTTTGTAGATGACAATGTGTATGAGTAACCCTATTTTACAAAGAACAATCATATACCATACATACATTAGACCTAAACTTTTCTACTGGTGAAAAACATACCTGCTTTTACAGGTCTTGTACTCTACTTTAAGAATTGGTTTACAGGACTCAGGTTTTTTTCCATCTCTCTGAATTTTTCCTGTGAAAAGAAAGAAGGTATAAACTCAACTAAATGTTCTAATTACCAGTATACTGGAAAAAGAAAAGATTATATAGATAGTACAAGAAAGAACTTTAAATGCCAACTGCATGGCAAATGGCACAGTGCTAATAACTATTTTCTCTTTCCTTGTGGCTATTCATTGGTCAAAAAGTAATTAGATTCCTCTTGTTCTTTTACTTGACATACTTTCTTTCTTCTCAGAAAATTACTGAAGTTAAAAGATGTTCGCTGTTTATAAATTTTGTTTCAAATGCACACAGCCCTTATGATACCACATTTTACAAAACCTGCAGATTCTGCGAACACTGTATGAGGCACTAGATAGTGGCTCGCAATAGCATAGTTTTCACTACTGCATGCATATGTGAGCCAAGCTTAAGGGCACTTAGAACAAGCATTCACGAAGGCACTCAGAAGGCACAAAAAGAGGCACACAGCCACTAACAAACAATGAATAATCCATTTAACTAATTTGGTCTATTTTTCTGAATTCTATTATCACAAGCAGCTCTTGATTCCCTCAAATTTACTCATTCTTCAGATTGACCTGATTCATTTTATTGGTAAAGGTTTTTACTCTCTGGATTGACTGGGAGCAGGTTTTTTTTTGCAAGAGTTCAGTATGCTTACATATAAAAGTCAAGGACTATCGGCTAGTTGTGCAAGTCACATGAGAAATTTCTAATTTCAATTGAGAGAGGAATCATTTATAAAAAGCAGATCTTGCATGTCTAGGATTTTGAAGTTCTCAAAAAGAATGATAAAATAAGCAGAATTAACAGGTTTTAGAAAAAGTTAAAATTTCCCTTTTTTCTGAGCTACACCGACCTTGCCCAAACAAAACTCCTGGAAACAATTAGACTCCTTTATGATTTATGTGTTGGGATACAGTTAATTTTCTCTTGCCATGTTCACGCAAAGTAAATACATATATTGCCTCAACTGTGACATCTAACTAAGTTCATCTAACTGTCTATGCAGGGCTGTTGAACGAGGCTTATAGAACATTTCCATTTCAATATCAAATAAGGGATGTAGCTTTCTATCTTTCTCTCTAATGTGTGTGAAAGCATCTATCTTACCGTGAGGAATTGTTGTCTGGAATGGTCTGCTAGGACTTTTCAGGTTCCACAGCGTCAAGCTGCCATCAGAGTGACTGCACATGAACTGTTTCCCCTCATGGTGCCACGCAACAGAATGAATAGCCTAAAGAAAAGGCAGTGAGAATAGAGAAGAAGAGGAAAGCCAACATGAAACATGCAATTCAAACTAATAATTTTAATGTATGAGTTTCGGTTAGATTTCATAGACATTAGGGGCTGGAAGGGACGTGAGATCATCGAGTCCAGCCCCTCTGCCATAGGCAGGAAGTCTGCTAGGGTCAAATGATCCCAGCAAGATAAACATCCAGACACCTTTTGAATGAGTCCAGAGTAGGTGCTTGCACCACCTCTGAGGGGCAGTCTGTTCACACGGACTGTAAAGAAGTTTTTTCTTTTGTCCAGTCTAAATCAGCCTTCCCCAAGTTTGTTATCCCTTGGGGAACCCTGGTGAACAACTGTCCTCCCATGTCCTGTGCACCCCCCTTATATACTTGTAGCCTGCCACCAAGTCTCCCCTGAGCCTTCTCTTCTCCAGGTTGAAGAGTCCCAAGTCCCTCAGCCTCTTCTCATAAGGCTTGGCCCTTTGGCCTTTAATTATATGGGTGAGTCTCCTTTGGACTCTCCCAAGCTTATCCATGTCCCTCCTGAAGTGGGGGGCCCAAAACTGGACACAGTACTCCAGCTGCGGCCTCACTAAGGCTGAGTAAAGTGGGAGGATGACATCCCTGGTTTTGCTTGAGATGCATTGGTGGATGCATGCCAGAGTTTGGTTTGCTTTGCCAGCCATGGCATCGTATTGGTGGCTCATGTTCATCTTGTGGTCAATCAAGACCCTCAAGTCTCTTTCGGTTGTGGTGCTAGTGAGTGTAGCACCACCAAGCCTGTAAGTAAGAGCTGCTTGCTCTTCTTCCCAAGGTGGAGCACCCTGCACTTCTCTACATTGAAGGCCATCAGGTGTGGTCCATCCACCTTGCGAGTGTGTCCAGGTTGGCCTGTATTCCCAGCCTGTCTTCCAGAGTAACCGACTTCCCCCATAGTTTAGTGTTGTCCGTGAACTTTGCCAGTCTGCATCTGATACCTGAATCCAGTTCATTAATGAAGATGTTGAAGAGTACCAGCCCAAGTACTAAGCCCTAAGGGACACCGCTGGTCACCTTGT